CCAAAGTAAGAGTTTCCGTAATAATTCATAGCCGCTCGCGTTTAGGCTTAATCGGAACTGCAGCAGAACTGGGTAGGGCGCTGGATTTCCGGTTCCCGAATTCCACCGAGATTCCGCTCGGAGGTGAGCACTTCTAGACAGGGAAGCTCGGCATTTTATTCCTGTTTTGCAAACATAGATAAAAACAAGACGACGTGAGCTAACTCCATAGCTTACGGAAATAGATGGAAAGGAGAAGAGTGAGCCAGCCCATGACAGACGTATTTTATTTGTAAAGCGATCGTTTACTGATTGATCTATCTGTTTACTTCAGAATTTCACAACTAACAAGCCATCAAAATAGTCTACAATCATCTAAGACTCGCTTGCGCTGGGTAAAAAAGTTCTTGTTTTGTCAATGAACTAGCCTGAAGCTGATCATTAACAGAAAATAGAAACAAGACAAAAATTAAAGCCGGAACTTGTATTAACAAATGTCCAGCCGAGCGGTACCGGAGGCTGGAGCTACATTTTCGAATCTTGCACTTCAGTCAGCCAGCTGAAAAAGAATAATGTGACGGGATTCATGCACTGGCGGTATTCACTAGTTTGATAGTAGTCCCAAAATCTTTTGGAAACATTGCACGGTCATTTTTTGAACGACATGAGATCTCCTTGCGGGTGGGTCTTGGTAAAATTACCCCGGAATCCCATGACATATTCTGTCTTCAAATTAAGCTATATGTATACGACGAACGCCGTTTTGTTGACCTTTCATTCCGATTAATGGTCTCGATGCTGACACTTCACGTCAACTTTACTTCCATTATCCCCTCAAGCCTTGCAAGCCACTGCCACAAGCCTTCTTTTTTAAATACATTCCCTACCCTAAGTCACTCGAGACATTGTATTTGACCTAAGAGTGAAATCATTGAACCATGGAAGACGGCAAGCGTCATTACTCCTGGAGAACGGTAGCCGTCGTATTAGGAATATCCTGGAACGCAATTTGCTATTCTTACTCCGCATCTATTATCGGAACTACGCTAGGTAAGAGGTGGAATAGAGCGGCTTATATAAAATCAGGCCATCAACAGAAGAGAATAACCATATATCCGCAGGTCAGCCTTCGTTTCTCAGTTACATGGGACTTGACAGGCGATCGGACAAGCAAGGACTTATCGGCACTGCGACAGGTCTCTACTATGCTGGAGGTGTATTTGGATGCATTTTTAATAGCTGGATGGCTGATAAGTTCGGCCGCAAATGGGTGATCGTTGTGGCAAATGTCATTCTTCTGACCTCAAGTGCCTGCCTCTCCGGCTCCGCGAGCATCGCCATGTTCATTGTATTTCGTTTTTTCACCGGCTTCAGGTATATGTCTCCCTGCAAAGATCAAAGGTAGTTATTAAAGTGATCAAGATGTGCTGACGACCACGCAGCGCGTATATGTTATATCTCACAACCCCTCTATGGGTTGTTGAGCTTGTCCCCCCCAACGGTCGAAGTATTACAGCCGGTATGGTTGGACTCTGTGGTGTAACTGGATATATCCTGGCCGCATATGTCGGTGTGGGGTTCTTTTACCTGAGCAGTGATACATCTGCGCAGTGGCGAGCGCCGCTCGCAATCGGCTGCTTCCCTCCCGTGATTAGTTTGTTGATAGTTTACTGGCTACCCGAGTCCCCTCGGTGGCTTTTAAGTCAGGATAGGGAGACGAAAGCATGGGAAATTATCCGCCGACTTCATACTATTCCTCACGAGGACGAAAGTGGGTATGCAGAAGCTGAATTTGCCCAAATGCGAGACCAAAGCGAAACAGAGCGACTCCATAATAGCTCCTGGTCAGAACTAATGACAAATTCTTTTTATCGCAAACGTACAATTCTTGTTATCGCTCTTCCTGCAATCATCTTCTCGACAGGGAATCTCGTTATCACGAGTAAGTCGTGAAGATATTCACCTCCTCTACTGTAAACTAACATCAGCCCTATATTCAGCGTACGCTGCTTCCATCTTCAGCCATCTAGGTTATGGTTCTGGACAATCAATAAATCTGCTGGCCGGAATCTATGTTGCGGCTGTGGCTGGGAATCTCTTTTCCCTCACATACATCGACCATGTTCCACGGAATGTGATCATGGCCCTCGGCACATTGCTGTGCACGCTTGTTCTTGGTATTGAGACTGCGCTAGTTGCATCATGCGCAAATCCAGAGGCGGCCCACAGGGGATCACTCTTATCAGCAGCGGCAGCTTTCATATTTCTTTACCTGTTCACCTTCAATACATCTCTAGAGGGACCGAGCTGGTAGTGAGTGCAAAGCCGAGCCAATATCCTATGGCATTACACTTTCCATTCTGAGGACTAACATGAATAGCTATGCAAGCGAGGTATTTCCTACGTCTCTGCGTACCAAAGGTATGACGCTCAATGTCATCAGTTTCGCCCTCATCAATCTCTTCTGGCTTGAACTTGCCCCGACTGCATTTGCCACCATTACTTGGAAGTTCTACTTGGTGTTCGTTTCAATTTCAGTGTTGGGATCAGCCTTCATATTTTTTGCTTTCCCAGATACTTTGAAACAGCCCTTGGAAAAGATTGCAGGTATGCCGCCCGATGGAAATGAATTGAAAAATAGTCATTCAATTCACCAGGAGGAGAGTTAAACAAGAGGGAAGTTAAAGATGTCAATATTTTCGTCCTGTTGAATCTTTTCTGCTCATTTTCAAATTCTAGCGTTTTCAGACCGGTCCAGCAAGCGTCTTTCACACTTTGTCCCATCTCAATCTTACTGAGCATTTACCTACTTCTCAAAAGTCTAAATGAGAATGAAGGGCTCATACGAACATAGTAAGCTGGCTTGGATCCGAAATTGACTGCCTTCTTTGTCTTTGAAACCTCTCTTTCTGTTGTTTAGCTAGTACAAAGTATTGTTCTTCGGATATAACGTAATGATACAGGACGGATCGAAATCAGTTTCAGCATTTGTGCTCTTTGATTGTTTCTCAAACTATGTTTTTAGTGATGCCAGGCCTAGTATAGTTCGTGCTTGCTGGTAGCCTCTTTCATATTCGACAGCTCAAGGTGATCTAGGCCAGATTTAGACTAAGTCTGGCCAAGATTTAAGAAGAACCGAAGAGAATAAAGTGGTTAAATTGATTTCGAACGGACCTGTATATCGAACTGGAAGAGCGAGTGAACAACAAGAAGAAGATGTAGATCAAGAAAGTGATTTTTCCATCGTGACACCCCAAAGTCTTTGAACAGTCCCGCTTCTCGGCCGTGAACGACCGGAAATTTTTCAATCACCGGAATTTCGGAGACTTAAGAACGGATTACCCCACAGAATCTAGGCGACAGATCCGGTGGGCAAGATTTTTCCTTTTATTTAAATTGAGCAGCACTATATTAAGCTGGTCACCCCGCAAATAGTGTCTTGATTCTCATCCTCAATATCCTCAAGATAGGTTTGTTGAAACAATGCCTTCAAACGAATCCGCTTCCCAAGGGACTGGCGACTTACTGCTGCCAAATATTCCGTCACATGCTAATCGTCAACTACGTGTGATCTGTGCCGGTGCCGGTGCTTCAGGAATCTATTTGGCCTACCGGTTGAAAAAGGATTTCACAGATTTTACCCTCGATATCTATGAGAAAAACGCCGATATCGGAGGAACCTGGTTGGAGAATAGATATCCGGGCTGTGCGTGCGATGTTCCAGCCCATAATTATACATACTCATTTGAGCCAAAATGGGACTGGTCTGCAAACTATGCTGGATCTGAAGAGATCTATCAGTATTTCTCCAACTTCGTGGACAATTATGCACTGCGGGAGTATATCAGTTGCAGACATGAAGTCGTCCGGGCAGAGTGGGACGAGGAAAAGGCAGAATGGATTGTTCACATCAAGAAAGGGAACGGGGCCATCTTTTTCCAGCGATGTGACTTCTTCATCAGTGCTGCTGGGATCCTGAACTCGTGGCGTTGGCCCGCAATCCCGGGGCTTCATAGTTTCAATGGCACACTGCTACATAGTGCCAACTGGGACCAAACTGTTGACCTTAAAGGAAAGCATGTCGGACTAATTGGCAACGGGTGAGTAAAAAGATCAGCTGAGGTGCTCTTAAATGCTAACAATCTTGTCATCCACAGATCATCCGGAATCCAGATTCTCCCACAAGTTCAACCGTAAGCTCATATCCCAGTTCCCTTACCCTTCGAGCTTTCCATTTGAGGGCGCATGGATTCCGTGCATTTTGAAATTCAATTTCTAACCAAAAAAAAAAACAAAACAGGATAGCCAGCAAACTAACTACCTTCATCCGAGAGCCTACCTGGGTGAACCCATCTATGGCCGGAGGGGGCCAAGTGGTGTACACAGAAGAAGAAAAGCGCAAGTACCGCGATGAGAAATGCACGTTGCTAGAGATGAGGAAGAAGAGTGAATCTCTGATGACGGGAGCATTTCCCATGTTTATCCGAGGATCACTGACCAATGCACACGCCACAACTCATATCAAGGAGGAGATGCGCGGCAAGATCAACGATGACGCCCTGGCGGATAAACTGATCCCCAATTTTTCGCTCGGCTGTAGACGTTTTACAGTGAGTCTAAAATATCCGTTATTATATTATCGTGTCAAAAGTTAACTGGTATCTAGCCTGGGATCAACTACCTCGAGAGTTTGACTCTACCGAACGTAAAGACGGTCTATGGCGAGATTACCAGAGTCACCCCAGAAGGGTGTGTGACCGATAACAATGAGGAGCATTCTCTTGATGTTCTCATTTGTGCGACAGGATTCGATACAACCTTCAAGCCTCGCTTCCCGGTCATCGGCCGCAATGGAAAGAATCTGCAAGACGAATGGGCCACAGATCCCGAAAGCTATCTTGGTATTGCTGCCCATGGATTTCCAAATTATTTCATGTTCCTTGGGCCCAACTGCCCTGTGGGTGTTGGACCGGTTCTCATCGTTATAGAGGCACAAGGCACCTATTTTGCTGAGGTGTTGAATCGCTGGCAGAAACAAGACATACGGGCGCTGGAGCCCAGAAAAGAAGCTGTACGTGACTTCATCGATCACAAAGACCAGTTCATGCAGAATACGACGTGGACAACGAACTGCCAGTCTTGGTACAAAAACCCGCAGACGGGGAAAATTACCGCTCTCTGGCCCGGAAGCACATTGCATTATCTGCAGGCCTTGTCTGATATTCGATACGATGACTATTGTGTCACATACCTTGGAGGAAACCGCTTTTCCTACTTGGGCAATGGCTTCAGTCAGCTCGAATTGAATCCATCAGCAGATGTTGCTTATTATGTTCGGGAGACAGATGATGGAACATCAGTTCTGAAGGGGACCATGAGCACATTCAACACAAAGGATGGGGCAGCGAAGCTCATGACAACAAGAAAGTTTTCTTAGTCGTTGAAACATTAGAATTTTGCTTGACCTGCAAGGGTGGATCTGCAATCTGTTCTCGGCTTTCTTCATTCCAAGGCTGCACAGCAGGTCCGTTGTGATTTTTTCATAGTTACTTGGTTAGGAGCCGAATTTATCCAATTGATCACAAAGCATTAATGGAAAGTCCTGGTTTCGCTTGGGAAAGGGATCCCGAGGTCGTGATACCTGATTTTCTATCCTCACATACCGGATATATATTGAGCGGGCGTAATGTCCACATTTCAGCCTGACTCAAGCAAGACTCATGGAATGTTGCAATTGGCATAGCAATTAAATATGAAAACTGCTGCCCAGGCGTAAGTTTGGGAAATATACGCAAAGAAAAATCGTTGACGGAATTATGAGAAAATATTGAAACATCTATTTTTTTTGTACATGGGAAGAAGTATACATTTGTAGAAACTCGACTCGTTCATGTCGGGATTTCCCATGTGAAACCGTGGAATCCACAAAGCGCTGCAAGGGCCGATGTGTACACATATTCTCCAGTTGAATAGGAATGGGAACCGTCCGGGCGGGTATTACAACTGCCCGCCTTGCGATCCGTGTGAAATCTGCTACTTACCTCCTACAGCATTGATTGCAATATATTGCCACGATCATTTCTAGCTGTTTTGAAAATCCTTGCAGATGCATCAGGCTCTCAAACCTCCAGGATGTTGATAGTTGGTAGCTTTAGTTATTGAGAGGAGAATTGTTCCTCTCTTTTTCTCTCATCACAGCACCAATTGATACCATAGTTTTCCTTTCTCCTTGCTTCCCGTTGGTAACTGGGTAGCGAGATTCCTGGCCTCCTAGTTCTTGCCAGCACATTTTTGATTTGACCACTAAAATTTGCTCTCTAGCCAATCTTTGACACCTGTGATGTCTTCAATATAGAGTCCCATAGGTCCTGATTATCATTCTTTCCATTCCAATATTCCGATCAAGGAGGGCAATTCAGATGTTCTTTGAACCAGATAAGTAAGTATATATTCCAGAAGGAATCCTGGAAGAGTACCTTACGTTAGAAGATATAAAACCAGCGAAGACCTTATAGCCTACTGATATCGCGCTAATCTATCTAAAGTAGAATCGTATCTTCACTAAATTTGAGACGTAAGTGACCTTACTTCATTGCAACGTGCAATGAGCTTTGAACATCTTGATAGTAGTGTGTCTCTCCATTTATCTTCATATCGAGAATGTTAGTTACCGATTGCTCAGTTCTAATAAATTTAATGTTAATTTCAAAATACTAATTATTGTCTTCCTGGGCTTATAGGCCTCGCGTGAGATATAATGTTACTTCCAGCGCCTCACATATTAAACAATTCAACAGCACAAGATACATGTTGTTATTAGAGAGGAAAGGGTATTCCCAAGATAACGCAGACTTGAGCAACAATGAATCTCATCGAATCTATTTCCAGATTTGTAAAGCGCTGTGTAATTGCTGGACCGTTCAAAAATCATGAATAATTTCTGGAATGCAAGGAGATAATCCGTGATTCTATATACAAATTTATTTGTTGACAGCGACCAAATTTGACTTCTTTGGTGTTAACAGAATTTTGGTATGATGCTCCTTGTTGTTCAGAAGCCCCTGAAAGGCGTTATCGGCATTCTCTAATGAAAACCGTGCAGTCACCATTCTGCGAATTGTTCGATATTTGCCTATCGATACAAGTAAGCCTGGATGCTGTGAGCATTATTAACGAATAATTTGCAAAGAAACACACCCATGGACATCAAGTTGACTGCTTCTCGGAAATCATCCCCGCTATAGGCCATAGATGAAACACATGTTATCTCCTTCTTGAAAAAGTCAATGAAGGGGAATGTGATCTAACGAATTTTTGTTATCAGTTAGGAAGATGAAATATCCGAAACTTGTTCATGCACAAGACTCACATTTGCGCCCCAGAATGCGACATTGATGTAGGTCCCACGGGGTCGCAACAAGGCCATAGCGGCGGCAGCGCTTCCGGTTTTCCCTGCGCAGTCAAAGGCAATATCTATTCCTTTGCTCTTTGTCATGGTTTTGCAGGCTGTGCCAATATTGTCTTTTGTGGGAGACAGAACCTGGACACCGAAACTGTTCAACAATTTATGTCGTCCGTCCTCTGGTTCACTGATGATTATGTTATTGGGATCAGCTCCGAGAGCGATCATATTCTCCAATACAGCATATCCAACTGGTCCACCTCCCAATAACAGTACCATTTTATGAGGCCAATCGTCCAATCTCACCGCTGCCTTTCGCACGGCATGCAGGCCCACAGCCAAGGGCTCTGCTAGAGCTGCATATTCGAGCTCAAAGTGTTCAGGGACCTTGTGCAATTTATACTCCTGAACTGCGACAAACTCGCTCAAACCACCGCCAGGCCCTCCAGTGAATCCAATAAATTTCAGCTTTGGACATTGGGAACCCCAGCCACTCGAGCAGCAGACGCAGGATTCGCAGGTTAAGGTAGGATTGACGATCACCTTATCCCCTACGGTGAGATTTGAGCCAAGTGGAACTTCCTTCACCACTCCACAAAACTCATGGCCCATGATAAATGGTTCACTCGACCCGTGTGTGCCTGCCGTGCCCATTTGTAAGTTCAAGTACTTGTAAATATGAGATCTTTCTTACCCGATGTATACAAATGTAAATCACTCCCGCAGATTCCACACCATTCTACTTCCACGAGGACTTTCCCTGTGCCTTGGTCGAGCTGTGGCACCTGGACATCTTCGACTCGTAGATCTCCAGCACCGTAGAATTGAACAGCACGCATGGTATTAGACAATGTACAACCGTGGTAGATTGGAGACCAACTGGGCTATATAAGTTAGAATTTCTTTATAAGCACATGTGGACTATGAGAGCGGAACAAATTGGGTGTTTGGGAGATTCCGTCGGGCACAGGACAGGGGACGGAACTCATGTGAACGATACAGAATTCTCGGAATATTCTATACATTTCGGAATTAGCATCTTATAACGGGTCAACGCATCATTTAAGCGAATTATCCTGTGCAGCTATGACAAGTCTCTTTATAAAAGCCCTAGACGATCCTGACTTCCTTTTCTTTGGGATTCCAATCTCAACTCTACAAAAAGCGTGCCTCTGAAATTATTGTGGATACTCCTGGTGATGGTGGAGGGTAGCTATGGGATATAATATGAGCTCAGCCTTGTCGGTACTGGGCGAAAATAGGTTTTATGTTTCCGTCTGACGTTGAATTGTTATGCTAAATACCTAGGGTTACCTTCGATAATTCTTCATCAAGCGATACTCATTTATCCTTGTTGCTACACCTATTTATAGATAAGGGGGAAATGCATACATCGTCTAGTTACCATCCCCATGTAGAATGCCTGTCTATGTAAGTCGATTCTTTTACTTGTATTGTTGTTGATCTACGCGAGGGATGCCTCAGGCTCCTAACATCTGTAGTCTTCTTAGATAGCTCTGAGGACAGGTCTGTTCTTTCTTTCCTCGTCTCTCCAAATAATACCAATTTTATCCTATTGCTGGTATTACCTTCCATTCCTATGTTATTATAGTGGCATCGGAACTACGCTATAATGGCGTTTATAGTTCTTGGTCACGGCAACCTCGCTAGACATATGACTCGCTATACCTGCAACCGGATCGGAATGGAAATTTCAAATCGTTGACTTGAATTGTTCAGTATTTGCAAATGACGCCAAAATTCCCAAAGTCGGCGGGATCTCTCGTGCAAGAAATAGCTGTTTATTGCGAGTTGTAGCAATAACAAAGTGCTCTACGGAAGCTCCATATAGCCCTTCAGCCTTTCCTCAGCGGACACGTATGGACTTTCCAATCGAGGGAGCTCCTCAGAATTTATCACGTGAGGCTTTTCAACGAGGTCAAGGTATTCGGTTGTCACGGCATCTGCTTCCTGAGCCAATGTCAAGCCCTTGCCGAGAAATGAAAAGTGGTTGTTCTCTGTTTCTGGAAGGTATGTGTACTCAAAGTCCTCCCAGCGAGGATTATCAAAAGCAACAACTGCGTGGATGGCAGATCCAGGCCAGAGAGTGATAACACGACCATCTTCCTTGCCGCGCTTCATCCAAGACTTACAGGGCTGGGTATAGATTGTCTTGGTGAAAAATTTGTCGATATGTTTGGTAAGCATAGTCATCGCTTCCGGCTTCACAGTAATGGATTTGAGGTACTCGCGCTGCACCTTTTGCACTGCTTTCACCATGTACTCGCATGCACACTCGATCAAATGAACAAAGCCGCCAGTCCCGGGGGCGCCATTAGGGCCCACAAAACGGATCATATTTGGCATCTTGGGGACGAAAATCCCGAAGTAAGACTCCGGATATGGGTCCCATATCTCATTCAGATCAACTCCCCCCTGGCCGATGATCGGAATGTTTTGTTTGAGGGTGGTGTCAAAGCCCGTAGCGCAAATGATAATGTCCACCTTTCGCTCTTCGCCGTCCACTGTTTCGATGCCTTCAGGTGTGAATCGCTTGATCTTTGTTGGTACAAAGCTCACATTATCTTCTACCAAAGCTTCTAAATAGCCGGGGCCCGGTGTTAACCGGCGACAACCTGGAGGCCAGGCTGGCTCTAGGGCCTCCATAATCTCTGGTTTTCTCTTCAGCTTCTCTCTCATTGCGTCATGGTTGATCTTTTGGAAGTTCTGTTGCGAAGTGCTGCCGAAGAGAGTGATCAGAGCCGCGCCATTGACGTACTTTTCGATCTTGTGGCGCCACGCATGATAGGAGGCAGGGTCATCTTTCCACTGCCTCAACTCTTCTTCAGAATGGGCGACTAGAAAAGAAAATGTCAGCCTAAACCCTTCGTCTGGACTTTATCGAGGCTATTTACAGTTTCCGATAGCCCCTCGCTCTCGTAGCTCTTCGCTGCCGAACCCAATCGGTGAGATCCATGTTTTTCCGCTCATGTAATGATCCACTCGGTTGGCAACAGATTGAATCTGTGGCAGTATCTGGATACCTGTAGAACCAGCCCCGATGAGGGCAATGTTTTTGCCTTTCATGGCGTCTAGAGTTAGTTCAGGGTCCCAATTTGCAGAGTGGACAAGTTTCCCTTGATAGCTTTCAAGGCCTTCAATATCAGGCCACTTCCACTTGTTCAAGATTCCAGTCGCACTTGCGTAGAAATCACAGGTGTCAATGTATACCTACACATTAGCATTAGCATTTAATGAATTTATATCAGATACGCGCAATACTACCTCTCCAGTGTTGAGGTTCTTCATTTTCAATTCCCATTTGCCGTCCCTCTCGCACCACGTGGCTCCTAGCAGCTGATGCCGGAACTTTGTGAAGCGATAAACACCAAACTTCCACGCTGTGCGCTGGAAGTATTTCTGGATTTCGGGACCTGTTGAATAGTATTCGGGCCATTCGGTATTACTCTCGAATGTATACTGGTACGCAGCGCTCGGGATATCACAACGCACTCCGGGATATCTAGAATGTCTCGTCAACAATTGGAATCACCAGTAAATCTCCCCGGGTTCTGATTTTACCTATTCTCCCACCAAGTACCACCAACCTCCTCGTTCTTATCGTATATGGTAAGGTCTAAATTTGGAATTTGCTGCGAAAAACGAATGCCCGCAAGGATGCCAGATAGCCCAGCTCCAATCACAATAATCTTGATTGGGCGGTAGTTGTCGATACAGTGTTCCCATAGTGGAGGTAGGTCGATGCCACCGTTGAGATAAGCTTCAGGGCTTTTCTTCGATTCTGGAGTTTCTGGTGTCTCTGACGTCATCTTTGCGTTTCCTCTGTGCGTTACAGTCCTTGCTAGGATCACACAGCTGGGTGCTATAGTCTATATATTTCAAGTTGGGCGTGAATGAATATCTAATATTGAGGTCATTTCAGTCACCCATCTAACCGGCACCGACAGCCGGTTAATTTTCCGTGGCATTTCCGGGAGTTGAGTTGGTGCCGCCGGAACTGATTTTGTATGATTACCCAGACAATGAAACTATCCAAGCCTACGGGAAATGATCTGAAGGAGATGAGATACTAAGTCTGAGACAATGGCATCACCGGTGGAAGTTTGTTAATTGGAAAAAAGTGCAACGGAATAATGTTGTTTTGCTGGTAGAGGTATATCAAATCCTCTATGGCTACGAATTTGTTATGGATGGTATAACGTTAGTTTGCTTGCTGTTCAATTTCCAGCCCGGATATCTGTCCAGGGCTTATGCCAACTAGATGTTTTGGTAAACCTCGACCCGGCTATAGCCATTTCTTTGATTTCATAGTCAGCTTCCGGAATCTAGTCTGGGCTACAGTCAACTGGTGAAATATATGAATTCTTACTCCTGTCACAATGGACCGGATGTTGACCGGCACAGAGTCACTGGGTAATTGTTCGACTTGCTAGTAACCCTCTATCCCTATACCCTTCAGTGATTAGAAAACCGGTACTTGCATAAGACCATGCTCCACTCTGCTATTCGTATTAATTCCATCACTATATATTTGTTCGCCATCTTAGTCTAGCAAAACCTGACACAGGTTTTGGCATCAAATTCTCAGATAGCTCAGCTTTGTATTTTACACCTGTTAGACCTTACTATCAGTGACACAAGTTCAGACCAAAGATTGAGATGCTTACTCATTGGAAATCTTTGGAAATCTTTGGACCTTGCAATCGAGAAAGGGTATCTGGCGAAAAAGCTACATATAATTCCTTGGACTAGTGTATTTCGATCTGCTGCGATTTTTCTCTTCGAGGGATTTGACGCGCCAGAAAGAAATATTTGCAACCTCATTGTTACTGCCTTGGTGAAATTGAAACGAGACAAATAAATTCCATTCGTTCATATGTTGCATAGAAACGACCAAAACAGAGACGAAGAGCAAAGAGTAGGGGGAAACAGTATCCACCCTAGCACGCCGTTCTCCCCAGCAGCAACTTGGCAGATGCCAGATAGAAAAGCATAACCCAGCATAGAGCAGTAACAAAGTACTGTCAGAAATTGTGGATCCTTTGCTTGGGGTGCGTGGTATCCCACATGCTAACTAGTACTTTCCGATCGCCCTTAACCCAAGGTGCACGGCCATGGGAGACTTGATAGTTATCTACAAGAACCAAATCACCCTCCTCCAAAGAACACATAACTGCAATCTCCTGGCTAAGCTCCCATATCCGGTGCAAATACTTCTTGGGGATTGGGGTTTTGTCTCCATACATGGCCGGCGGGAATGCCATTCCATCATCTCCGATATAAGGTGGATCAGTCGCGCCGCGATCAAGCGCTGTACCATAGCGACCGGCCAAGCTGTTGAACCAGACTGGTAGTCCCGTTATCGGATGACGACGGACAGCGGGTACAAATTGATGAACCTCAAGCTGGTCGCCATCTCGCCACCAATAATGCGGTGTTAGACGAACGATCTCCTTTTCCGCCTTCGACTTCATAGTTTCCATATCGTCCTGGGGCTCAATATGGCGTCCAAATGCCAAAGGCCCAGCCCAGGTGAAGGAGAAATTCTTTCCCTCGTTCCCAGGCGGGCGATAAATGTCCGGCGATATCAAGCCCTTCTCGTTGACTTCCTCAACGAACTCGGGCATCTCGGCAAAAACCCGATCAAAAAGCTCAGTGCTATGAGCAAGGGGACTCTCTCCGCCTTCCTCAGCGGCCACTTGACAGAAGAAATGGATGTTGGATGGGAATTTTGTGTATCGAGAGTATTCATTATGTTGGTAGATCCAGAGATCCTGTGGTGCTTCGGACGCGCTGAATACCTCCTTGCCATGCACTACACGACTGCCTGCGAGCCCGAGTTGGTCATATGGGGCGTTTCCACGGTTTTCCTCTGCACTGTGAATGAGCTGAGAAAAGGCGTGAGCAGTTGGGTCGCGTGGACCCCGCAGAAGCAGTGCACCATGTTTGTTCAGTAAATCGGTGATCACACCACGCGTAGATAAATCTCGGATAGCCTCAGACGATTCTTCAAGGGTGGGTGTGGCACCTGTGTGCTTCACAAGCTCGTAGGCGATAGGAAATATGTTGCCATGTACGATGCGAGCTTCGGGTAGCTCCAGTCGTTTGAACAATATAGGTTCATTGCGAGCATGGGAAATAATTTCGTCATTAGGGATGTAAGCATTGTCGCTTACGGCGCTTGCGGCCATTTTCAAAGATTTGAAGTGTTGGATCTTCGATGTGATAGAGTTCTACCATCCGGAATACTGGATATCTTCGGTGATGCAAAATCTGGTGTTGAATTCCAGAAGTGAGCGATTACAAAAGATGACTTATTATGTAGTATATAGAATTTGATCAGTCTTTTTTGATCTTTTGGCGAGATGACACTCGCACCTCGAGCACCCACCGCCCAGTAAAATTCCGTCGTGGTAGGCTCAGCGGCAACACTTCGTCGGAAATGAAAGGCTTCCAGCAGACAGTCAGTGGTAGATTATTCTCCACCGTGTGCACATTGCATTTCTTCCTTCTCGCCTGAAAAAACAGGGATAGGCCCTGACTTTTCGGAATCGGATTTTCTCTCATTTTCCGATTGTTTCCACCAACTCGGGACATCGGAATAATTCAGACTCAAACTTGCATGGGAAAAAGAGACGCAGTGGCAGCAATGAATAATGAAAAATGAATAGTGTGAGTAGAAAAACATACAAGTCTACACATTGATGCCCAAAATTAGATCTCGACCAAGTATTGCGAACAAGTCCGCGATATACTTCATGTCATCAGCATGGACCCAAGTTTGTTCAGCTCAAAGGTGTATCTAGTGACGGGAGGAAATAGAGGCATTGGGTTTGCAATCACAAGCCAACTTCTCGACTATGATGCATTTGTTTATGTTGTCGACATTGGACAGGAACCATCACCTGCTCTACAAGCCATCGCGAACGAACGTCTCTACTATCATTCTGGAGATGTTCGTGATCGCATAGAATGTCAGGCCCTCCTACAAAAGATTGTTGGCACACATTCGCGACTAGATGGGCTTGTGAACAATGCTGCTATCTGTCCTCTGGAAGGTGCATCCCCAGATGACTCTATGTTTGATGAGGTAATTGACGTCAATCTAAACGGTGTTTGGAACTACGGAACTGCTGCGATTCACCAAATGAAGACCCAATCTTCGGGCGGCAGCATAGTCAATATTGGCAGCACCTCTTCCTTAGTTGGGGTGGGCCGCCTACCAGCTTATACGGCCTCAAAGCACGCAGTCCTAGGCCTCACTCGATCATGGGCGATTGAATTTGCAGGACAAGGTATCAGGGTCAATTGCGTGGCTCCTGGTGAGTGAATATGTTCATCCATATCGAAAATGCGACTTAACTTCTAAACAAACAAATTGCAGGAGGGACCGACACCGCAATGGCCAGAACTCCATTGAGGACGGTAATGGGTCCACGATTTGGCATGGAAAAGTCGGAGGATGAACTCCTGGAGATGGTTGCCAAGTCTATTCCAGTTGGACGTATCGGAAAGCCAGAGGAGATCGCCAATACTGTGTGTTTCTTATTGAGCGAGCTTGCCAGTTATGTCACTGGCCAGATAGTCCATACTGCCGGTGGTGTACAGCCGTGAGATGGAGATGGGAGCCAGTATATGTTACCATATCCAGGCATGTTTAGCTCTTTCTGGAATCAAATAATTCCGACATAGCGTCACGGAATTGTGTAGTCCTCTTCATACAGTCCTTGAATTAAGAGCACGCCCTCTAATGTGCTTATAAACCCCAACAAGTACGTAGTTCAACCACAAAATGAGATCAGCCACGTGAAACAGTCTACCTTACAACTGTGGAGTGATTGCGACAATCATTCCTGTCTCCACTGCAATGGCCGACTCAACTTTACAAGGTGATTCCCATTACAACATCCAGAACCGCTTTCTGAGTACTCGAGGCATGTGGAATGAAGACTGGGCAGCTCTTCTGCAACAAAGTCCACGTTACTTCGAATATTACCTCAACCTCCGTGAAGCTGCCGGCCTGCGCAGGAACAGACTACCTCCCAAGATTCAGGAGTTTATATGCATTGCCGTGGCCACTTGTACCACACACATTCATGGTCCCGCAATCCGATGCCATATCCACGCAGCCAGAGCCATTGGTGCAACAGCAGACGAGATCATGGATGTAATTGGTCTCACACAGTTGGTTGGGATTCATACAGTCACCCTGGGTGCCCCGATACTTCAAGAGCTGATTGAAGAAGAAGGGATCACGATCAAGCCAGAAGGTGTTGATTCTGACGAGCTGGACCGAGAGCGCCAGCGAATAAAGAATGATTTCATTGGTGCCCGTGGATTCTGGACAGATACTTGGAATCCTTTCCTCGACTTGGATCCAGTTTTCTTTGAAGCCTACTCCAGGTTCTCGGCAAATGCCTCTAGCTGCCAAAGGTTGGAGCCTAAGCACCGCGAGCTAATTGTCTGTGCATTCGACGTGGCCACCACCCACCTGTACGGGCGTGGTACCAAAATCCACATGCGCAATGCCCTACGCTTGGGTGCTACGCCGGACGAGATAATGGAGATGTTAGAGATCACCAGTCTTATGGGAATTGACGGGGTAACAGCAGGTGCACGTTTGCTGGTAGAACAACTGGAGCATGAGAAACGAGCCTAGTCAGCCGAGTGATAGAAAGAAGCAGTGTCATTTAACTTGAATTCAATCAACACAAACACAAAATATTGGCGAGTTCAAATAGATGAATATGACAAAACCCTTGTCCTCAATCGGCCTAGCTTGAAATTTGGTCCAAAACCCCGCTCAGAACAGCAATTTGATCGTGCTACCGATATTTCATTGGCCATGTTCAAAAATCAGAATATCGCCATAGTGTTCGCGATTGTTGCAACACCACCGCGGACATTCAACGGACACACAGTCAAGAAGAAGGACCATCGCTGATTCTTTTCCGCGAGGGCAGCGAGGGCTTCAAGATCAAAGAGTTCACCGATAGGCATACCAAACCCAGCTAGACAGGCTTCGTGCAGGCGCATCCCTGATAATGAACCAGATGTGAGACCAGATATCCAGACAATGATTCGCGTACTCACTAGAATTGTCTGAGGCTGGAATGCATTCAAAAGCTACCGCATCGCTTGCCACAGCGGCGAGGTTCTGATCCCAAATCCATTCAATCAATTCAGGGGTTGGATCCACCCCGATATGTGTGCCCCGGTCCCAGAAGCCCTTTACGCGTGGATCGGATTCTCGAATGCCCTTACTCAGGCCAGTACGGATTATGAGTATGTCTCCGGGGCAAATTCGCAATCCCTGATCAGTAATCATCTCCTTGATATGATCCAGTGAGATAGGGAAATTACTGAACACGTCGTAGTCAATTGAATGTTTGCCTGCATATCGGACAAAGTCGAGGAGGACACCACGTGCCGCTACACCGCCTCGTTCTGAGAGGGCTGTGGGATATTCAACGAAGGGCACCATGTCAGGACTGTAATAGATCTGTTGTAGAGATATCGACATCTCAAGCAGGAGACATACCTTGGATTCCAAGACTCTGATCCGTGCGAGACTCGATTGCGTCGACGTAATCGACGCCATTGTAGTATTTTTCTAGGCTTTGGTTCGCGTAATGCACTATATGCATCGTGAGTGACAAACTCAACCCTTTTAAACAAAGGCTATTCACGTAGTCCATCCCATTGACTTGATGACTGGGTGTTCAAATGGAGATCATCGTCGGAACAAACCATCCCATGGACACGAGAGTATACTTCATGTTTCATGGGCCGTCTCCCAGGACAGGGATCGGATGGCTCGTCTAGGGGAAGGCTCCAGAAAATGTCAGCTAGTGTTTCATGAGAGGTCGGGTACCTCACTTGAGTACCACAGATTCGCCGGTCTGGATTTCCTCTCTTGCAGCTACCACAGCTTTCCGTGTGATGAAGTTCAAGGTACCATAAACATCACGAACTCCGTCTTTGTCGAAAACACCCCAGGCACTACCGGTCGGGGCGTCGGATCGGATCGGAAGACTCTTGTAGGAAGGAATGTCACCAGCCATTTTCATATTGTTGAAACCTTTGCTTGGTTTATTGGTCTGCAATGGGTACTTTAGAATGCCAGAAGTACAAAATAAAACATTTTTATTTGTGATTGATGCAAGTCGGAAACTTGCTCACCCGAAATCACAACGTTCCGTCGGAATATATCGCCCGTCGTGGAACCTTGTGGTATGGTGAAGAAATGCGTAAATGTACAGAGAACGGAAATTTGGAAACAAGTAGAAAAGCTCCAAACACAAATATCCCTGGCTAGGCGTTTCTCATGAAGATCACATAAAATTCTATCATGGCATAAGCACCTGGTTGCTCTCTTCGTTCCCCCCGCCCGGCCTGTCTCTCTCTCCTAGAGAGAGACTGATCTGTGATTTTTACCGCAGTTTTCTGCTTCAACATCACATAGCTATAGCTTCTGCATTAGCCTGGTACCAACCCAGGAAACCATTTTGTGGAAATATCGTGCTGTAAATTCCTTATCGACGGCGAAGACGAAGCCATGGGGAAGGCCAGGGTGGACAGCGACCTCAACAGGAACTCTAGGGATCGCAAAGATTCAGCAAATGTACAATAAATACAGAAGGAAGACAGAGCGGAAGGGAGAGGGATCCTGAGTGATACCCGGCATTTTTGAGCTCGGCTGCATAGGCAAGGCCTTCATCCCGGAGTGGATCCATGCCTGCCACCTGAATAACTGTTACAATCCATCAGCGACCTATTGAGTCATGACACAACATGAGGTCTCAAATGGATGGGATTTTCCTACGAGCTGGTGGCAGTCCCTCAAAACAATCAGCCAGCAGCGGGCTTGCGAGCATATCTGGTTGCGGATCGGGATAATACTGGTCTAGATAGTGTTTGAGGTGAGATCTCCGCTCATTAAAATTTCGCATTCGTAATATCACGACAATAAGACTTACCCCAGTACCAGTGCATATGAGCTGAATTTGTGGTAGGGGCCGTGTAATTCTGCCGGTAACTCTCCAGAGTGTGCTTTTCGTGGGGAAAGTACTTGGGATGGCAAACAGCAGGAATGTTGAGGAGCTGTCCGATGATACCGTCTAGACCGCCCTGTTCTCTTTTGAGAAGTAGTGATAGTCCGGCAATCTTACCGTTTGTTATTAGATAGAGGTACAGCAACTGGCTAGCATTGAGAATAGTGGGTTCGTCCTTACCAGGCTTCCACCTGCGCTGGTGCCCGCCAAGATCACACGGGCAGGGTCAATCTCGAGTTCTGTCGCATGCGCGAGCGTCTGAAATAGCAAGAGTATCTTAGTTAAAGCAAGCTCCATGTCATATATGTGAAAGGTATATCGACTGCCTTACCCATTTGTACGCGTCGAATACGTCATTCAACGGGGTGGGAAAAGGGTGCTCCGGGGCCCTGCAATTTATGAAGTCGTCAGATTAACATTATGTTTTTAGATTGTACTGTGACTGTGGATTCTCTATCGGGGCAGTTTTGCATACCGACGATATTCGACGCTGGTCACGACGACCTGGTTTCTCACGCAAATCAGTCTGCTGAGGGCGCCCTCAGATTCGTGACCTCCAACCACCCAACCTAACACAGATTACTATGGCGATCCACAAAGCTTTGCCAATCTAGGTAATGTAGCCTACCTCCTCCATGTGCAATGAACAAAAGTGGCTTGACGACGCACTTGGTCACTGAAGAGTTCGTCGGGGTGTAAATACGAATATTGATCTCACTGGAATCCGACACTGGAATCATTCGGTGAGATATCTCATAGCCGTGTGTTGGTACAAACGGCATATTAGCTCGGGAACCTTCAAAGTTTTTGCGCAACTGTTCGACGTCGTTGGGAGTCCATAGTTGCTCAAAAGCTTCCTTCAGCTTCGGAACCAACGGCGCGAAATCCGGGTTGATGACACACAAGTCTCCATTCCCTGCATATAGAGAGGTATCCATCGTGATACTTAAGTATGAGATGATGTTCTTCTTTGCTTGACTTGAAAAATTACTTACTCTAAACACGGTTGGAGTATTTCGTTACGCATTTAAAGTCATGCTCGATTAATTTCTTCATGAAGTAGCCAATCGGAATAAGGTGAAAGGTCAATTCCGGTCAGCAAGGACATTTTTTGACCCAGAAAAGCGAGCATACGGAAGAGACAGAACCTCCAATGGAAAGACCCGACTCCAGTCTGATTTTACCTGTAAGTATTACCCATACAGATCATATGAAATGGGGAAAGAAAAGCTCGAAACAATGATACTTGTAACGTACAAGTTTAGAAAGACCAAATGTATCCATACTGCTCGGAATCTGGAGATCATCTCCGCACGACCGTACCGCGGAGGACATTGACCACAATTTAAATAAGGAACTATATAGTTACACACTAAAATATATTCTCTGAAATATTGCATCTACTTCCAGGGCGACACTTTTTCTTGGCTACGGCTCTTCTCCAACTATGACCACCACCGAATCAAAGATCATCCCCCGAGCTACGCTGGAGCCCCAGTGGCATGTTCCTGGGGCGAAAGAACCTGGCTACATCCGCTACCTTATTAACTGGGTGGGCGGCCCCGAGGGACATATCAATCCGAATAAAAGCGTCGCTGCTATCAGCGAGCAAGCAGTTGTGGGCTTGATGCATCTACCTGTGGGGCAAAAACAAAAGGGCATTCACTACCACTCCGTCGCAGAGATATATATCATTCTAAGGGGTGAACTAGAAGGTTACGATGGAAATGGCCACATCACTCGGGCCGGGCCGTTGGATTGCATGTATATCCCAGCTGGGGTCCCACACGGGGTTCGAAATTGTGGTGTGGAGGACTGCGATCTCATATGGGTTCATGATGGTGTCGAGAGAATCGGAACCTCCGTTTATTACTTCGATGGCGAAACTCCGACCATACCTCAGCTGGACGAAATATCTATCATTCCGTTTGCTCAACTTGATCCGAACTACATTTGCTACAAGGCAAAGGAACCTGACCTTCAGCGATGGGTGGTGAATTGGGTGGGAGGCCCCGGGGAATACACAAACTTCAACCCTGATACGGCTGTCACCAGTGATAAAGTGGCTATTGGAATGACCATTTTATTGCCTGGCCAACAATCTGTACTGCACTCTCATACCACGCCTGAAACATATCTGGTTGTACGGGGAAGGGGATTCTTGCATTTGAAAGGAGAAACCCACGAGCTTTCGGAACTTGACGGTGCTTATATTGTACAGGGAGAGCTTCATTACATTCAGAATCATGGACAAGACCCACTGTATATTCTTTGGGTACACGATCAACCCGAGTTGTCCGAAGCAACGAAGTACATCCCATAGCTCTATAGTCTAAATTAAAATGACGAGAAACAAGAGAATTGATGAGTAACTGAGTTTGAAGAGTTCCGATAACTTCCTTCAGCTTTCCACTAGCAGCTCTTTCGGACATTCGGAATTTAACACACCTAGTCGATCCTCTTCGGTGAGCCTGAGAACCGGAAGAACTAACCGGCTGTGACCCGTACAGTGACTTCGATTTGGGTAATTCAAAAAGGGATCCAGGAACAGTCAGGACCAGGCTTGAACACAATTCACTCACCATCCATTAAATCAACCCACACCTGAACCATGCCTACCGCCATAGTTACCGGAGCCTCTAGGGGAATTGGGCGTGGAATCGCTCTACGCCTAGCCTCGGACGGCTTTGATGTTGTTGTCAATGACATTGTCCAACAAAAAGATCATATCGAGAATGTCGTATCTGAAATCGAGCAAAGTGGAAAGCGAGCTCACGGGATTGTTGCGGATGTTAGCAAACAAGCCGATGTCGAGCGTCTCATTTCTGAAACAGTGAAAACGTTCGGGCAATTGGATGTTATGGTTGCAAATGCCGGTATTCTGGAAACCACGTCCCTTTTGGAGCTTACAACCGAGCAATGGGACCATGTTATGGGCATCAATCTCCGTGGTGTCTTCCTTTGCTATAGCATGGCCGCTGGACAGATGATCAAACAAAAGACCAAAGGCAAACTCATCGGGGCTTGCTCAATCTCTGGATATCGTCCCAGCGGCAAGGCTCCTGCCTACTGCACTAGCAAATGGGCAGTGCGTGGTCTCACACAGACAGCCGCATTAGAGCTGGGTGAGCATGGAATCACAGTCAATGCGTACTGCCCAGGATCAGTCAAGACTGATATGTCTACGGTTTTTGCTAAGCGATTGGCTAAGGAGCAAAAGGACGCCAACGTGGATGAAGCCTACAAAACATCCTCTCATCGTAAAAATGCACTCAACCAGGAACTATTCCCGGAGGATATTGCGTCGCTTGTCAGCTTTTTGGCTGGCAAGGATTCAAATGCGATGACAGGTCAGACTATGATTTGTGACGGTGGTAAGTCAATGTTCCCGTTGATTATCATCGAGATTTGGGCAGCTAACATTCCCCAGGCATGTACTTCACCTAGTAAAAAATATGACCTCTTGTTCTGATCTTTGCAATTTATAACGATATAACACAGCTTGCTTTGTCCATAGGAGCTTCGCTAGATTTTTTTGCGAAGGCAAATATATTCCAAGAGGGCTTCACGGAGATCTATATCCCATCCTTTGTAAAATCCGACGAAATCCAACGGCTTTCACTTAAGTAATACATTAGCCTCTATATCTGAGCTATTATTACGGAAGGAGTTGAGGGAAGAGACGGTCTGCCCATCATATTTAACGTAGTCCAGACTGTATCCGGCCTTCAATGATGATCACAAGAGAAGGGTGTTTATCTGCAGTTTCATGCATTGAATGCCACGAGGATGATGGATTTTTATTTAGAAATTGAATCTCTCATTGAAATAATGCAACTTGTAATTTCGAGCACAAGTGGAAACTGATTCTTGGGGCAAGGAAGAAAAATTATCATGAAAATCTATCAATAGGTGGAGCAGAGTAATTGGGGGCTGTCCGGGCTGATTCCATATTCCGCGAATTCCGTAGCGTGAACACCCCAGTTCTAGGGATAATCGAACAATGCTGAAAATATTAGGTATAATTTCGGCTATATATATTCAAAGCCTGAGATTGCATAGCATGAATGCCCCCCCTCCCCCCGCGAACACAATGGTCGATATTCCCGCCGTGGGTGTTTGGGAGCTTCTTTTTGAACAGCGCCAGAAAGCCTTTCCAGAGCACCATGGTGGGTAACTCCTCACATCCAGGCAAACTTTGACCAAGCTCCTCTATTTTCTCGTGATTATTGATGATTTGATCCAGTTATTTTTCAATCGGTGGATGGTAAATCATACACCTATCAGGATTTGAGAGAGCGAGCGAAGCGATTCGGCACTGCATTACGACAATGCAATTGGAATTGGACCAGGAACGATGTCCTTATGGTAATGTCCCCAAACTCCGTCGAGATTCCGGCAGTCATTTGGGGGTGTCTATATGCCGGGGGAACTGTGACGCCTGCCAATCCGGACTTACGACCAGCCGAACTACACAGGCAGCTAGTGAGCAGTAGAACAAAGGTTCTGGTGGTTCACCCACAATGTCTCAAAGTTGCTAAAGAAGCCTTTCATCTTGGACAGCTTGACAATATTCGTCTTCTAGTACTAGAAGGGAATCTCCAAGAGGTCAAATCGGTTACTGAATTCATCGACGCAGTGGAAGGAGAGAATCATGGTAGTGGCAAATCCCACATACAACAGACCTGGACTCCCATAAACCCTGCAGTTGATATTGCATATCTGGTATATTCTTCAGGGACTACAGGGTACCCGAAAGGAGTCATGATCTCACATCGCAATGTTGTTGCAGCTGTCATGCTTCAGTCTGCCGTGGAGAGTATGCATATTCACTGGGATAAAGACCGGATACTGGCTTTGCTTCCTGTGTACCACATATATGGTGCCGATGCCCACTCCTTTATAAACGAATGGTAACTGACCAATTTCTAGGATTGATATGTCTTCTGCATCTTCCGCTGTGGCTAGGCATCTCAACTTTCTTCATGGAGAAGTTCGAGCTTCGTACCTTTTGCCGCCTCGTCGACGAACATAATATCACGCAAACATATGTGGCACCCCCAGTGGTGATCCATGTAGCAAAAAGCCCTATTGTTGAACAGTACAATATGAAGTCACTGCAAATGATAACTTCTGGAGGGGCGCCCTTATCTACTGGTTTAATCAACGAGCTCTTTCACAGGCGTGAACTGCCAGTAAGACAGGCTTACGGACTGTCCGAAACGACCTCAGTGTCTCATATCCAGGCAAGTTGGTCCACTCATATTAGCAATTTATACTGATGTCTTCAAAAGCGATGGAATGAATTGTCAACGGGAATTGGATCAAACGGCGCACCCTTGCCAAATCTGGAGACCAAGATGATGCGATCGGATGGCTTTGCAGCTGTTCGGAAAGAGGAGGGGGAACTGTGGATTCGCGGCCCAACTGTTTTTCTTGGTTATATGGATGACCCTGGTATGACTGCCACCTGCTTAACCAAAGACGGATGGTTTAAAACGGGTAAGTTGAATCGATCTTAGCGAAAAGAATATTTTTGCTGATTGGGAGAGCGAATGTATAGGGGACATCGGGTACGAAGATGATCAGGGTAATCTCTATATCACTGACCGAGCGAAAGATATGATCAAATTCAAGGGCTATCAAGTAGCTCCCGCAGAGCTGGAAGACGTTCTACTTACTCATCCGGCCGTCGACGATGCAGCAGTCCTTGGAGTAATTAACCAGGATATTCAGAGCGAGGTCCCGTTGGCCTATATTAGGTTGCAGAAGGGATGGAATAAAGACGAGGCAACCGCAACGGAGATTCTAAATCATGTGAAAAATTGTGTGGTTCATTATAAGCAGTTGCGAGGTGGCATAATTTGGACACAGAGCATCCCCAGAAGTACATCAGGCAAGATTCTGAAGCGAGTCTTGCGTGATCAGGCTGAAAGTTCAGACAAATTTTCTCGTATCGGGGCAGTTGATTATGGCAAATATAGAGCAAAATTTTGAGAGTTTTGACTGAATTGATATTTTTGAACTCGGAAAATTATTGGCGGCTGCGAAGGGGCATAGCGGCCAAAGCTCAAAATGCTTGATTTTTATAATATATAATCAAAGTAAAAATGACGGAAATATACCCCTTCGGGGAGCCTCTCAGGAGGCGTGTGCCTTTTTGGGTTAGCGGTTAAATGGGCTGTTTTTTCCATTTGTCATATATGACTCAATCAGGCTTAGCTTTACGCTGTAATTCAGACCTCTTTTAATACCGCTCTGGACTATCCATGGATGTATGAAGCCATTCCCACGAACCCATGCCCACTGTACAAATCCGCATTTTCTACCGAATCTAGGAGTTTAGAAAACCCTCCTACCGTATAAACTGTAGTTCTTCTATCTAAGATTCTTTCTGTACTCTGTAGAGTCGATCAAAATCACGGATATTTCCGATCAAACGGACACGATATATATAACTAGCAGATACCTACGTATCCAGTCATCATGGTGATAAACTGAGCAATAACACATGATCTATAAGCGAGAGGGAACCCACTGAGGAACCCTTTTCTCGGAAAATGCTTTCAATCCAATTTTGAAGTTTTCACCCATCTTTAAAGACTGAAGGCATTGTTGCTCTGTAATCTGCGTAGCTCGCTCGACACTACCACTTTCCAATGATTGTCTTAAGCCTGCCCGACTGACAATAACGGCATCGGGGGATTTACTAGCGATTAAAACTGCAGTCTCGATGGCCTCAGGAACCACAGATTCATCGCTCTTTGAAATCTTGTTGATCAATCCCCAGGAAAATGCCTCCCGGACTGATATATGATGGCCAGTAAGTGCCACCTCGGACGCAATTTGTGTTCCAGCGGATCTCACAATCCGAGAAAGACCACCAGCTCCAGCGTAGAGGCCGACATTAACCTCGGGAAGCCCAAGTCTTGCATTTGGGGCTGCAAACACGATGTCTCTGTACTATTGATTAGAATCAAGAATAACATCCGGATGGAGTATTTCGTACGAGTTGAGACATATTTCAAATCCACCTCCCAGAGCAAGTCCGTTTACAGCCACAATAACCGGCTTCTTTCCCAACCTGCGAGATAGTCCGGCGAACCCATTTAAAGGAAGTGAATGGTTCGAAGGACTATCTGAACTGACCGACTTTCCAAGTTATTCTTTCAGATCTTGACCAGCGCAAAAAGCAACTTTCCCCGCGCCCGTTATTACAGCCACACGCAATGTGGGCTCTCGGTCTAACCATGTGAAGATGGCGTCTCCTTCGAGATGGCCTTGGAGAGGAATAGAATTGTGGGAGCTCTCACGGTTTATTGTAACCAGCAACACATGGAGCTGGAAACGACAAAATGAAGGTTGTGGATGAGGGTGGTTGGGTCACGAATAGGTTCGCCATAATGAATACGTGGCCGGGAGTGGAGAGTGATAAGTGGGGCCCTGGGGTATATATGATTTATGAATGAAATCTTAAGGCGAAGGAAGGTTCCTGATTTATTGGTAGCTTGGCTGGGGACTCATCAGCAACACCCTTGTCATATTCACTTCATTAGTGGCTGATGATGCCGAGCCGCCCCCACTGAGGCTAAGCCAGCCCGGGAGGAATGGAATTGGTTCGGAATTGTCGCAATGCCAATAAGCTTCGGTATTCGACCATTGGCACTGATATTTTATTTCCATCTTAGCACACATATTGTGATCCATTGCCCATTTAGTGCGACGCACTCATCATCTCATCCCATTTTCGGCCATTACCGGATTATTTCACATTTCACAGCTTAACGGCTCCCCTTGTGTCTTCATCGACTTCCAGAATGGAGAATATTTATCGGTCCAAAGTCCCTCCCTATACTGTTCCAGAGAATCTATCCCTGCATCAATTTCTTACACAATACAACCCTGATATTTGCCGGCATGATGACATTATTTTGGAGGACCTGGCGCTTCCGCTCAAACGCTTGACCTATGGCGGTCTTAGAACGAAATCGGCTATTGGGGCAGCTTCGCTCCAACAACAATTTCAGCTTCAACCTGGAGATACTGCAATCATCTATGCCACCAACTCAGTCGACTACTCCCTCTTTGCACATTCCATCATGTGGATGGGATGTGTTATCGCGTAAGAGGGCAATTCTGTCTGCTGGTTTGAATGACTTTTAGCTCACCTCATTTAGCGGTGTCAATATCGCTTGGTCTGGAGCCGAGTTAGCTCATGCTATAGAAACCGTCGAGCCAAAAGTTATCGCTTGCGATGCTAGTCTGAGACACAGGGTGGAAGAGGGGTTGCGATCAGTCACTGGCCTCAAACACGTTCCTCGGATTCTGATTCTTGGCGAACAGCCTGGAAATGTATCCAAACCCCGAACCCCTCCTGGAGCTGAAGATCATATTGCTCACTATCTGAACAACCATAGTTCCCACGATCATTCATTGACGAGCCCCCTCTCGGGAGTATCCCGCTACCACCTTTCGATCTATCAATTGATGACAGCCGTAAGCATGCTTGCCTTATTCTTTTTAGTTCAGGGACAACCGGATTGCCTAAAGCGGTCCTCTTGAGTCATTTCAACATCATTGCCCATCTTCTCTCCGCCCGAACCAGCGATGCACGACTCAACGGTTCTTCATCACGGGAAGTATTTTTTGCCCCATGTGAGTATTCCCCTTCTTGACCCCTCATGATGACTTGCCTTATGGAACAGTGATTAACAGAACCTTGCTGTGGAATCATAGTCGCTCATATGCTGGGCGCGCTAGGTGCCATTCTTGTACCACCATTCGTTGGTTCCTATGTCGGAGTCATGAAGGAATTCGAACTTCAGGATTATATCAAGGCTTGTGCGAAATCCCGCGCTACTATACTCAAGGCAGTACCAAGCGTGGTAGTCGCTTTTGCTCAACATCCGCTCGCCCAAAAACTCAATCTAACCTCAGTTAACAACATATTATCTGCCGGTGCTACGCTGAAGCCTGAGGTTGTTGCAAAACTACAAAATTTGCTAAAAGGGGTTTCCTTTGTACAAGGATATGGGTGAGTACCAGACGGAGAAGATGCGGAAAATCATTTTATTTCCCACCGTTTACGGGCAGATATTAATGAGCAATGGACAGGATGAGCGAGGGGGCTATTTGCAGCCTTCCTCCGCAAAGATCAGTCGAAAAATGTGGAAGCGTAGGCAGGTTGTTCCCTTGCGCGTGAGTCCTTTAACAATACTTTTTTGCTGCTCCGTTCTTTCTTTAATTTTTTTTTAATTTTTCATTAGAGAGATTCGTGTCGTCGATGAGGATTACAACGATGTTGAGCCAGGCCAAGCGGGAGAGGTTCTGCTCCGAAGTCCAACTGTTTTTATGTACGTCCCAAACACTTCCTCTGTCTCACACGTCTCTAAAGTCGACTGCAGGGGATACAAAAAAAACCAGAAAGCAACTCAGGAGTCATTTCATCAAGGGTGGCTCCGTACTGGTGATGTGCTCTCCATTGACGATGATGGATTTCTCTGGTTCCATGAACGGCGAAAAGAACTCATCAAGGTGAAGGGGTAAGCCTGGTCCGAAAGACTGATACGTGATCCATTGCTGTTGCTGACAGATGTTTGTAGTCATCAAGTGGCCCCCTCGGAGCTGGAGGGAATTCTTGGGTCTCACGATCTAGTCATTGAAGCAGCTGTGTGCGGCTACTTTGACGCCGACCGTCAGACCGAGTGGCCGATTGGCTATGTGGTTCTGGCGCCATCTGTACCACAGACTGAGTATTCTAAAACCTTGAAGGCAATCCATGTCTGGCTTGACAACCAGGTGGCTAGCTACAAGCGCCTTCGAGGTGGCTTGCACTATATTGATTCTGTACCAAAGAATCCCACCGGAAAGCTCATGCGTCAGAATCTTCCGATCAAATTAGCTGAAAAGCGCAAGACAAAAATTTGAATCACCCCGCGATTATGAATTATTTATGCGTTGATCTTCGTATTTGGTTGGCAACTTCTTCACTTTGTTCATGCGCATTTAGGAATGACCACGAAGGTGCCAAGGATCCAGAGTACTTGCTCTTCAGGGCTGCTCAGAAATTACATCTAGCCGATCACGCAACCGTTTTGGGCGTTTTAACGGAAAGGTAACATTGACCTGGACTGGCCAAATCACGTATTTTCTGGGCTTCAGGGGCCAGATTCCGCTCAGGGCAGAAAAGAGGTGGTGTTTGAAGGATCTACCTGTGACTTCAATATTAGAGTGATATTGTTTGTGCAATCAGATAATATGAGATATTCCAAAGTGTATATACAACGGAATGAATGATCAGCTGAATTCTCGTATATTATTGGGAAAGAAGAAGGTTGGATCAAAGGCAATAGTCAATGATCTGTATTGATATTTGAATAAGGGTAAGTGAAAGAAGGTGATGGTCTTCAGGGGAGATTTTCTCACAATTCCGCACGTAAATGCGGAACAACAAGCCTGGTACGCAATATGAAGTATCGATCGACAGGGTCTGTAATTTTTGTAAGACGTCAGAGCTGATTACATGCAGTAGTTGTCTGTTGATATCGCTGTTTTTGTCTGCCCTGTATGACATGCCTATCCGGTCGTTCGCATACGTAGTTGGATGAAATGTGAGCCTACCTTTTTTTCGGAGGCCAGAATAACGTACCATAGAGTTTCCAGAGTAAAGCGCCGCTGCAGAGATTCAAAAATAAAGTATTAAGAAAGAATTTGAAGGCTTCAAAAGAAAGAGCACAGACAATCAGCCAATTCTTCATCAAGACATGAGATTGTTCAAAATAATCCATTGGCTACTTTCAAACATATTTTTCAAGTCGGGTCTTCATTTCCAAATAGACACACAAAGTATGCTCTTTCACAATTGTGACGCTCTCTTCTTCGACCAGGACTCCTCCTGCCTGATAGCCAAATCAGTCAAGATTTCCTCACTTCCACCACCAACGACAAGCATCCTCAAATCCCGGCTAATTTGTTCTACGCGAGCACCGATACCACTACGTTGATAACCAGCACCACCAAAAATTTGTTGCGCTTCACGGTTTGCCAGTTCCAAGAGGCGACCACCCTGAACCTTGGCTAAAGCAATACGTGCAGACAAATCATCCATCGCACCATTGTTCACCTTAACATGATAGGCCAGCTGCTCGATCCATGCCCAGTGTGCCTCCAAGTACCTTGCGATCGTCGCAAGCTTGGCACGAATGATTTGGTGGGACATCAAAGGCCTGCCAAAAGTATGTCGGTCCTTGGCGTACTCATAGGCGTCTTTGAGACATATTCTGGCCAAGGAATTCGCGTTGACAGAGATAATAAGTCTCTCTCGGTTGAAATCTGGTGAAAATTAGCATCGAGCTCTAAGGTGCGAATTCTCAAACTGGATTAAGCGCGAGAGAAGAACTTACTTGTCATCAGAGTTTGAAAACCGTGGTTCTCTTGGCCGATCAAGTTCTTTACTGGAACTCTCACATCTTCTAGTGTAACCCACTGGCTATTTGAGGCGTTGGAGCCGCTGTTTTTGATTTTTCGCATGCTTATGCCTGGGGAATTTGTCTCTATAACAAGCACAGAAACACCTCCAGGTCCGGAACCACCAGTTCGAACTGCCGTCGTCATGTGCGTGGCTTGTGCCGCACCAGTGATCCATTTCTATGGGTTTATCAAGTCAACAAATGTTACCAGCACGCCAGATGAGGCCATGGGAAAGGGTATCAGGGATCATATACCTTGTGACCATTCACGATGTACCACTTTCCTGTTGAGTCCTTCACTGCAGTCGTCTTCAAGTTGGCAAGATCGGAACCACCGGTGGGCTCTGTTGCCGCGAGACAAAAGCTGACTTCCCCAGTCAAAATGCCGGGCAACCATTTTTCCTTCTGTGTCTCGGTGCCAAAGTGCACTATAGGTGGAGCACCTATCGCCGACGAGCCACTGAGCCCAGTAGGCACACCACCATAGATCTTAGCCATTTCGGCTTTCAACACAATAAAATGGAAGATGTCCCATTCTATGATTTTACAAATTAATTTGTTGTCCACAAAAGCTCAAGGTCAATACTTACCATGGTATGGTATACTGCAGGGCAGAGGCACTCCGTTCCGGTATTCCGGTGGTAAATCTTGGAAAGCGAGCCCGGCGCGGATAAATTTGACACTGTCTTCTTTGGGAACATTTCCATCCTCCTCCCATTGCTCTGCGTACGGTTCCACATTTTTTTCAATGTAATCACGCACGTAATTTCTCAACGCTCGATGACTATCATTGTAATACGGGGATGCCAAAGCATTATACCACGCAGGCTCCGCGAAGGGCGTGTAGCTTCCAAAGGGTTCGATTATACCCCGTCTCTGTGATGCACACGGCGACATGACTGGTATCAGGAGTGAATAAGATTAAGATTCTTATGGCCTCTGAGTCGGGGAACTTCTGTTTATAATGATTGGAGACCCTCCCGTGTCATGGAAGCAAGCGGAAGAAACAAAGCAAACCGAATGTGATCAACACTCATTCAGACGCTAAAAAGTGTGGCAAGGGGAGCAAGCAAAAACAGGCTGGAACTTTTAGCACTCCCACTATTCAGCGTCCAGACCTCGGGTTGGCGCCAACTACTTAGGGAAGCTACTTTTTGATCAATTTAGGAACTCAAATATAACGTCACGGGTGTTGCAGTGACCTGCTTTGCCTGCGCTGGCTTTGAGGATAACCTAGGGACATGGAACCTGGCGACGAGGAGTCATATGAAGTTATCTGAGGAGTTGACTGTCGCTCGCGAGGGGGGGGATCGGAATCGGAATCTACTGATTTACGGCGTTCTAGCGAGCAACTCCGCCGGAACTTGGTGTATCATACATACATAGCGCGTGGAGTTTCCCCTCTTCCATTTCTCGTTTACTGGTTCATGCTTCATACACAAGCAATATGCGCCTCGTTTCAAAGAAGGAAAATCACTAAACTGAACTAGATCAACTAAGAAAACAAAATTAAGCTAAATGCAGATCTAATTGGTAACGTAATCCATTGAGATTTGCGCTATTTACCACAAAACAGCAATGTACTGTTACATATCCCAAAGCTGCCCCTCTTTTTTAATTAACTCTCTCGAACAAACGAATCAACAAAATCGACAATTTTTTCTGCTAATAAGGAGAAGGGTTGACATCCAGTTCCATCGCTTATTTAAGAATCAAGATACGTCTAGTATGCCTACAAACTCGCTTCGCTCGAACGTCTGCGTACACCGAGGAGGTCCGGGTTAGATGCCATCACTTCGCGGCGCAGAAACCAGGCAGAGATGTGCCGCAGTTGGTCGATAAGTGGGATGCACTAAGAGAAGAGGCAATTAGCGTTAGAAACTCTGTAGGAGATGATGATGCGGTTAGGCTTTTCTTAGCCGCTACTAAAGAAATTCTACCTATTGAAATGGGGATGGCACGATGGCAGTCTGACATAGCAGACGGGTCGATATCAATGGAGGCAGCACAACCAACCACTCCTATGTCCAGTACAGACGTAGATAGCAGTCTGTAGGTGGCTATTGTACTAGAAATGAAGCTATATCATGAAAGAAGAATCTAGTGGAAAAAACTATAATCATATTGAGGATGGTAGGGTGCTGCTCTCTCTAAGAAAAGACTGCATGCAAGCTTCCCAAGGCATTTGTGATATCTTAGGCCACTAATACGCTACTGTCATGGGTTCCACCACTACACTATCTAGTGGGATAGCAGGTATTCTAGACATATACTAGATAGAGACAAGGTCAGACTTCAGGATTTAATCGAGTCATTTCGCGGCATATATCAAGAACTAGGAACAAAATAGTCCACCGCAGCACCAAAGGGTGCCTTTTCAACCTGGCAAGGTCACGACGAAGTCAAATCGCTATCCTCGCAGCAGGACCAGAAACCAGCGAAGAAACCAAGCAGCCCAGCCACATCAGCAGTCTAAACATGTGATCACTGGACCAATAGAGCAGCGAATCTGCCCGTATGGCCGGAAGAACCATTAAATAAAGACCTACTATAGATACTAGTCAAATGTTCCTTCCCACTCCGCCCCACTATATTGGCCTAACAACCAACCGATGCTCTTTTTTTTCACTCCTACACCTCCCCTATTGCTCCGATTGTAATGAAAGTAGGACCAAAAAATAGCAAAACGGCGCAGCTATCTACGTCCCAAAGGTTAGCTATTATCTATGCTCACGAGAATGGCGCTACGCAAGTGCAATTAGCTAATGACTTTGGCTGCTCTCGGCGTACAATCTACAATACGCTAAAACGCTATTTAGAAGGCGAAAAGCTAGAGAATGGCGAAAAAAGCGGCCGTCCCGCTATTATTAGTGAGCGCGCTTGCTCTTATCTCTATTTATAGGCACGTCGGCATCCGTTTTGGACCTATAAATAGCTAAGTGCTGCCACATCTCAGCATCCGTCACCCTCCACTATACGTCGAATTTTGAAGCGATTCGGACTCGGAAAGCGGCGATCAAAACAGAAAATACTAATTAAGCCTCCTCTTGTAAGGAAGAGGCTAAAATTTGCGCGAAAATGGCGACGCGAAAGCTTCCAATCGTGGATCTTCTCGGACAAGTGTTCGGTGCAACGAACCTCGAAATCTGGACCACAATGGTGCTTCCGTATAGACTCCGAGGGTCTTCGGCGCGATCTTGTGAATACTAAGGCTCACGTAAAAGATATTTCACAAATAGTTTGGGCCGGAATCTAGATAGGAGGTCGAACAGATTTAATAATTATAGAACGTGACGAAGAATCGGGTTTAGGGAGGGATTATACTACAAAGTCGTATATTTTGACGCTCGAAAAAGGTCTAATGCTAATCTATACCCCTAATTTAGTATTTCAGCAAGATAACGCGAGGATTTATCTAGCGAAGGACACGTAAGAGTGGTTTGAAACTCACAGAGTATACGTCGAGGATTGGCCCGCGCACTCACCCGATTTAAACCCAATTGAACCGGTATAGCGCTGGTTAAAAGTGAAGCTTTTTGCAATATTTCTAGAGCTTATTAGCCAAGGAAGGTCGGAGGTAGACTGGCAATATTTTAAAAAATGCCTGGTGGAAGCTTAGAAGGCATTAGATTAGGCAAAGATAGATTCGCTAATATTGAGCATAGGAAGACGTTTAAAGGCAGTGAGGAAGGCTAAGGGGTATTACACAAAATATTAAGCGAATTTTCGAAAGTGCTATTATTAAGCAACCCTGACATTTAATTACAATATTATAGACCATAAAATGGTGGTGCTATATACTATACAAGTGATATATATATTTTGAGAGGGGACCCGAAAAAGTGGAGTGGGAACATTTGGTAGGGGATGTATTATCTCCGCCCCGAGCTCACGCCTCTATGGCCGCTAAACCATAACATCAGAAAAGGGTCGAGACACGGCTAAATCCCGATCTAGCATAAATAGATTGATCAATGATCCGCTAGGATCGTGAGGCGCCAAAGGGAGATATAACAGCAAAGGTATCCGGAGTGGCTAAATTCGCTGAACAAGTTGAGAGCCACGATATTAGCAGCTATATCGAAGGACCATATGGTCTAATGCTTGGTTTTTTAACTTAAGAAATCAAGAGATCAGCAGATATCAGGGAATGATTCTACAGCACTATCATTTCAGAAGAAGATATAGAACATCCCGTCGCTAAGAACGGGGTGAATCCTTAATTCCGGAGCAACTAATCATATCTACAATGACAAACGTAGATTCATTGAATATAAAGATCACCTAAGGACCGTAGCAACCGGCAACAGTTCAACCTCTATCATCGGCAGAGGGACGGCTCGGTTAACCAGCCGAAACCCAGAAACAGACGGATCGAGGGTGATCACTCTCACTAGGGTGCTATAAGCTCCAGGTTTACATACCAGCCTCGTCTCGTACGGAAAACCGAAGAAGAAGGGAGTGAGTTAGTGCTAGGACACAGACGTGCTGCCAGACCGAGATAATATCCCAATTATCAGCATGACACAATAGGAGATAGATCTCTAGGTGTTCGATAGACCTCACGAACCAGGCAGAACGCTATATATGCGGCCAGCAGCGGCAGACGCAGCCGCAGCTATAGCAGCGCCAGCATCCACGGAAATCGCCAATTCTTTCTTTGATTTTTCCCCTCTTGTCTTATGCATGTGAACGGACGCCCTTGCTACTACCTAGAATATAACCGTGTGGTGGCGCCGACGAAATGCCTATCAGGCATTTTAGTTTATAAATATATATAATTATTGTCTTTTAAATCACCAGTGCTTTTTCACTCTCCAATTTGTCCGTTCCTCACAAACCTGCTTTTATCGTTAGTTTGGCATGTGCGGTGCCCAAAGAATAGGACAACCTTTTCGAATTAGTAAGTTAGGTGACGTTCGATGATAATGTCGGCACTAACAATCTCTTTAGACTACGATTTGGATCTAGACCTTGAGTCAATCTAGAGAGGTTTATAGACCAGGAACAGAATAGCGAGACTCTGTATCCCGCGGGAGTAAACATGGCGGTGGATTAGCTGGTAAGGGACTATGTGAGAGATCTGCTAATGCTATGAGGGCTGAATGCCTCTGGCTGTCCAACTGTCAGGGGCGGGAGGGATATCTTAACGAACACGTATGCCCAAATAGCTAGAGGATAGAAGAGACAGGGAGGTTTGCCTCCCGCTACCGAGCCGAATGCATCAAAGCGCAACGCTAACGAATGTGCTGGATCAGGAGAGACTACTATCTGCACAGTGAAGTCGTATATGAAACTAGGGAAAAGATGGTATGATTGAGAGTGGCGTTAGGATTGTTGACCTTTCTGGGGTACAATTTTTGTAGAGGCAGAAAAAGAGATATTGGGCATAATAATTTTGAAGCGTCGTTCCGCTCCTCTAATTTAGTAACTAGGTGATAATTGGTAGATAGAGAGTCCCACAATGGGGCGCGGTGTCAATTTGGGATCTATAAGTAATCAGCCAGCACACTCGGCGGTATTCGCCCTCACACGTTGAGGATATTTGCGCAACAGCCGACTACTGTTCGCGAAAACGACCGTGTAGTATGTTATCGAGGGCGGGAAAGTCACTTAAAGGTACTAGGAAATCAAGTTGGTCGACTACCCGAGGGCCGTGGAAAGAAGGAGGTGAGCGAGCAAGCAGCTTGCCCATTCTCCGTTTGTATCCGACAGTGATTGATCAAGGAGCGCAGAATCTAGAACAGACTGTCGCAACGAGAAAACCGTGTGCATCCACATAGACCCCACTGCTAAAAAAAAAAAATGAACAAGAGGATCTGATTCTTGAGTTTTAAATAGGCCAGAAGGTTAGAGAGAGCAATCGAACCGAAGCGGCGAGCGAGAACCATAAATAGAAGAGCCTCGACCCAGATACCCATTCTCCACTCGCATCAATTGATCCTAACTCCGCTTCTCCTGTTGGATCTATCAGGCCCCAAATTATTGACACGCCTGATTCGGATTCGCCCTTGAGTTTAACGATGCAACATACAATGGCGGATGATCTGTCTTCTTATGAACATCAACAGTTCTGGATCCCCATTGATCCGATGATCACAATGCCTATGTTGGGAAACGATGGTCAGGGAGCTCAGCCGAGCTTCGCATCGCTGCACTGTGCCTGCAACAGCACCATGGCCCCCTACAACCGTCCCGAAAAAGGTATAGGAATGTTAGCGGAGACGAGTTCCTCACCACCGCTCTATCACCCGAATCATAATCAACCCTAGACGCATCATGCTTCTCACTCCTATCCAGTACCCGACCACACCTCCCGAACATGCTCCAGTCAAAACAAGCTCCTTAGCCCCAGGTATGTAGTCAACCTCCGTACCAGTTTGCGATACTCACATTTAGCCCTCGCCTAGTTCACCACGTCAGTCCGTCACAAGTCCCCAAACCAACTGCAATTTCTCTCATTCAGCGAGTTGCGTCAAAAGTCTCCCTGCATCAACCATAGAAGCAGTCATGCCGAGGCGATTTATCCAATCGCATCTGAGCGGTTATTCATCTCCCACACGTGATCCCCTCCAGTCAGCGACACTAGCAACCGCACCACCAGATCCATCGATGGGAGAGCGTGATCTGACGACCAAATTCGGTGCCGCTAAAGCGGATATCACACGTCGTCTGGGGATCGTGCTCGATGCGATGCGAAATGCAGGTTTTCAAGACTTCGACGCGATGGTAGTGGCGTACTATACTGCGCAGTTCGAGAGGAGCAGCTTCCCTGCCCTGTTACAATGCGCCAGCCGCAGTCGCCGCCTGAAGCCGATGCTGCAGGAGCTGCAAGACAGCAGCCGACAATGGCCGCGGTGGGAGTCTCGAGGCCTCAACGAGAGTATATCCGCAGGAACAGGTGAGTTCTGGGTTCCCCGCGACATATATTTATACGGTCCAGCATAGTAACACATCGATTTCACGTTATAGCATTACTTTGCGTGGAAGAAATGGACCTACTGAATAAGAGAAAAGAACTACACCTCGATCAAAGTGAGCCTGCGAGTCTCATTAATGCATTGGAGTCGCATTACGAATGAAGAACATTCTGGACCATATCCAAAATAGACAAGGCCGGATCATTATGACGATTTCGAATGGAGATCCTCAGATATAGCCTAAGCAATATGAGAACGATATCAAGTCGAGACCGTTGAGCGGTCTGCTGACTTCTCCACCTCTGCATTCGGTAGAGGGTCATGAGACGTGATAAACCTAGATAACCTTAATTATTAAGTTTCGTGGCTTGATATCCGGATTTTAAGGGTCAGGAGATTTTTCAAGTGCTTAAGTTGACGTCAGAATCTCCACCTGGCGGGGCCATCACGGAACCTTAGAACATCTAACCAGCCGTGGCAGAAACACTGCAGAAAATACTGGAACAGAGACAACTTTCGCTATAAGCCGAGTTAAGATCATCCTGTAGTCATCGACACTAGGTGCAGCCCTGTGCTGTGATGGCTGACCAATCGCAACCTCCTTCGTACCTAGAGACTGTCATTTATTCTCCTTGATGAAATGGTCGAGGCCATTGCATGTGTTGGGATCTTCAGTGTCTTTAGTGCAATCTTCGCACTCAAAGTCGTGATTACGAGGGTCTAAATAGGGCAGAACAGTCAAAGAAATTGTAAGCGCAACGTACGCAGTCGGGTGTTTACTAGAATGATAGAATATTTGATTGTTGAGCCTATTTTGTTTGGAACTTGAAATCCATTTTGTCGATAATAAAGCCAAACGTTCTGACATCACTAGAGCATCACTTACACTCCCTATGCATGTTTAAGTAATTCCTTTGAAATCTCTAGATTTCTCTCGGCTAGGGCCATTCCGGCCATCTGCAGGAGGTACCTCGTCCCAGAATTCTTTCATAAAGAATGTCTCCTTCTCGAAATAGGCTGCTTTCTTTTCCCCGCACACACCCCTAAGGGGGCCGGGAGCACGCACGAGGCAAGCAGCTTGGCCAATCAGGCGACGAGTAATTCGAGTGAGGGCTCGCTCGTTCATGTACTGGGGTATTGTGACACTGTGGTGGAATAGTGCTTCGAATTGCTGGGTACGATGTACAGCGCGGGCAGACTGTCGCTGGTTCCGCCGTTGCGTGACGTTCGATACTTGCTTTTCCTTAGCAGATGTATATGCTCGCAGTCGTCCTCGTTTCCGCGTTGGAAAAGCTGACGGTGGTGTCATGAAAAGCAAGTGCAAGCATGCTCGAAGCTATAGTCCGTGACGGGAAGGGCCTCCTTCAAGTGATATGAATAGGGGCCCAGAAAACCCCAGTCAGCATATGAATCGGATCTATCATAATTTCGTAGATAGGAGCGCTGATATTCCAAGAGGCTTAGTTTTTACACGAAAATCAGAAAGAGTTCAGTTTTGACCAAGAAATTCGGGAGGGTTTAGTGCATGCTTAAATAAGCACTTTGGCCTTGAAAATGATCGGATTCAACGGACCATAAGTCCATTGCTATTTTATTTAAGAAAGTGTGGATTGAATAGTCGGAAAGCCGGGGCATTGTCTCTTGAGTACAGTGCAACCTCCAGGCACATTAACTATGTAGCTAGTTGGCTCAAATGCTATTTATTGAACGACATATATGGTGTCGGTTGTGTGGCATTCAGTAAATATATTGCTAGTTAGGTTACCGCCCTCCAGATGATAAGGCTTTAACGGAACCTCAAATCGAATCGAGTAAGGCAAAAGTTCGATTCGACTCAGGCGGAGCAATTTCCGGGCTTAGCTAGTGTAAAGACCCGCCGTCGCTATTACGCAGAAATTATACACTTCTTGATAGTTATCTCGCGATTACATAGCTCATATTAATTTGTAGGCTTTTCGGCACCTAGAACGACTCATTTGATCTTCTTCCAGCCTATGGCAACATCTTGCGCCAGAAGACTTCATACACATTTATTATCCCTATCGGCTTCCATAGGCATAGCCCCCGCCGGCTCAAACTAGATAGCCATATCCAACATAAGCGCTTTGCGGTCGCTACCGATAACCGGCATCTAGTTAGACTCTTCTATCTAAATATAATACGGAACTTTGCATTATCGGAAGGATCTTGCCTATTTGTATATTTTCGAAGTCGAAGGATATAAGACGCTCTTTATGATACTTTTGCAGCCTTACGAAAGGGCCTACCGCAATTCTCACCTAATCATTAAGCCTATACCTACGGAGGTAGTAGGAGGGAACCACAGTCAACACCCGTAAGTAGGTCTTCCACGTATCATAATCGGCAAAGTCCAAAATCCTATCGTATAGCTCCGACGGGAGAATTCCTTCCGATTTAGATGCTACGTAGCGGCTCGCGGCGATTTCGAAGAAGTTAATAAGCGCCGCGAGCCCGGGGAACTAGCTTTATAGCCTTTAGATTGTCCCCGTGTAGTTCGAGTTTATAATAAGTTCACCGCGCCGATACTAAACCTTTATACTAGGCTTTAGCTCTAGTCGCTAGCGTGGATATATACTCACAAAATAATCTACTCGTAGAGGCGAGAGATCGAGAGCACTACTAACTATAATAAATTGCCCCACCTCAACATTAAATAAGACTTCTACAAAGGCGACTTTAAAGAGGGATAAGATAACGATCTAAAATTTAGTGCGTCCCTACTCAACCCCCTAGGTAACGGCCTTCGTGATAGACTCACCGTCAATCACTAGTGTAAGACTAATAACCACGTCCTTAAGCTAGTATATCGTCTCTATAGGCGACGCTTCTAGAGGCTCGCCTAGTTAATAGGATAGGGAGCCGAACTCTAGTAACGGAGCGCTATCGCTAGTCCACACTTCGTTAAGCTATCTAGGTTATAAGCAGAGGTGACGTGTGCTTAGGGGTTATATCTTATATAATATATTGTATTATATAAGCGACGGTGAGGTGTAAGAAGGTTATAATAATAAGGTAAGGGTCTTTGATAGTATCACTTGATAGTCAAGAAAAATAAAAGTAGATGATGGTTCTAATCACTTAGGACCCTTTCTCAAGGTCCTATATATAGCTAATTAGCTTACCTAATAGAACGACGTGGAATCGTGAGGTTCTATAAGGTATTTCAAATCATAGGTCATAAGATCACTAGTGTAATGATCTGTAAAGAAAGGGGTTCTAGTATTTGCAGGATAGAGCCTGTCAACTAGGTAAGACGAAGATGCCTGGGAAGCAAGTAGTATATTGGAGGAATACAGAGACTGATTCTTGGAGAACCTCTGGGTTCTTGTGAGACCACGCAGTCTCTAGGTTTAGGTAGGTAAGCGAGGTAGATGGCCCAGTTATGCGTGTAGTACAATAGGGTGTATTGTATGAAGAGACTGAACGCTGGTCCTTCCTAGGACCAGCGAGAAATGCTTATATACACGACTGGCCTATTCGTGGGCGGTGAGGTCCTAGATCATCCTTTCACGTACGTCCTGAGGCATCTATCTATGCCTTAGGCGTCATTGACCTCCTTAGTTAGGTAGTGGTCCTGACATTATCCCCCTCCTTAGAGACCACGTCCCTAGGGTCTTGTAGTGGAATGGGTCATTCCTATCGGCCGCGTTGGTCCATTAAAACCATGTAAGGCAAAAACCTCTATTCTTGGGAGGGAAATCCCCGTATAGGAAAAGGTATCCAACGTTAACTGGGTTATTCCCGTATGAAGTGGCACATCCACGTGGTAGTGGAAATGTGTAGGAAGCATGTGATTGGTGTAATAGGAAGGGTCGTTCCGATAAGCTTTTATGGGGTATTTCGGTAGGGCTGAGTAGTAGATCGAATGTTTGCTTATTAATAGTAATTGCTATTAGACTTGCTACCTATAAAAGGACCCTTTTTATGCTTTATGATTCTTCCTCTTCTTTCTCCCTAACCGATACGCTTATAACCATAGTAAGTGTCCCTTTTCTCACTATTTCCTAAGATACTATATTATCGACTAAGGCGTCTAAGATGCTGGAGGTACTCAGTTCTGAGATATCTTAACGCGTTTTGGATGCTTAGTTCTAAGGCTTCTAAGGTATCTCATTTATCCCCTTCCTTAGGGAGATTGTCCCTAATCTTTGATATTTGCTGACTGCCCTATTCTAGAATATGCCGTATATCCGTTTCGCCTCGTCCGATAAGGAGGACTTCCTTCGCGACTCTACGCGACAACGTTGTGGCGCCTCCTAATAGGCCTAGCCCGACAATACTAACCGGCAATCTTATAGCCCTATCCCGTAGGCCTAGCCCGAGAATAATAATCGGCAATCCTATGGCCCTATCTAGTAGGCCTAGCCCGGGAACAATGATAATACCTCCCCTCCGGGTACTCGCTAGGTAGGGTCTTTTTTAAATGTGTTATACCGTGAGCGTCGGTCTAGGTAGATATCTATTGGTGGTGACCGTGAGCGGAACCGGGCGACTGCCCTAGTTCCGACGAACGTTGCCACTGGTAGATCGCCTGAACTACCTATTCGTGAACGCACTCGCGTGTCGATACCCCCTACCTAAGCTTCCGGAGGTCCGTCTACCCCACGTCGCCCCCTGGTGAATTCTAACCCGACGACTCCGGCTATCGATAGGAAGCGCGATTAACGTCCTTAGTTTAATACTAAGACGCGCGCTACTAAGTGTATCTCCTACACCGGTATGGGTAGGGAGTATATATGGTTGGAGGACTTATAAGGGAAGGCTCTGCTAAGGTGCGACGATTGCACTAACCGTAATAGGAAGTGTAAGGACGTTCCTCACGACCGGGAAGTTATAGACCGCTACGTCACTGCGTTAGCTAATAACTCCCCTGCTACGGGTGTCGCCCCTACTTCGGGACCCCGTTTCCAATTCCTTCGAGCCGTATAGTAGTATACTACTACTATTAATAAGGCTATAAAGAAGGATGGCAATAGTAGGCTAATAGCCCTAGTTGATCGTCCTAAGGATTCTCGCCGCTGGACCGGATCGCCTCGCACTATAGAGGCTGTAATCCGCGACCGACGGAGTCCTAGCCCTTAGCGTCTATCTGATAACCGACGGACTGACCTAGTTAGTTCTTCTGGTTTATAGCCTCGTTAACGTACCTCTGGTACTATGGCTCGTGGATTCCGGCCTAACCGCGGTAATTCCTAGTCTAATGTTCGGGTTGTTATCCCTTCTCGGTCGACTGCCCTAGTTCGCGATAGCTCTTTGGAGGAACCCCCCCGCTAAAGCACCTTTAAACGTGTCTTTGGAAAGAAGAGATAGACTATCGACTAGGTTATTTTCTCACTGTCTCCCTAGTTTCTTGTTTCTTGGATATCGGATATATTTTTCTTTTGTCTTTCCTTTGTTTTCCTTTTGTCTTTCTTTAGCCGTATTATGCTGGTGGGTAATGTGAGGAGATAATTTTTCGGCTAAAAGAAATGGGAGCACGTGATCTCCTAGTTCTTTTTGGAATGACGGCCCCTTTTCCTTGTAGGTTTCGATTCGTAGACGTCTAATGCGATAGTGTCCTATACTATAGCTGGGTCTTCCTATGTATAGTCGTGATTAGGGTATCCTTCCTATTTCATAAGGTATTGCCTTGGTGGAGTGCCACGATAGGCTCTAATCTCCTTAATCTTATATTCTAGCTAGTCTTCTACTAGAACTGGCCTAGGTAGGTCGTCCTTCTTAGGATCGCCGCGGAATTTCTTAATAAGAGATATATAGAAGATAGGGTGAATTAACCGATATAACGGGGGTAGTTAGATACGGTATGCCTATTTACCGATCTTATCCGCTACCTAAAATGGTCCGATGTATTTGGTATCCAATTTCGTTAAAACCCGGTGCGAAGTAATATGCTTGGCACGTAGTAAGACCTATTCGTTAATGCTAAATAATATATTAATGTGATTTTTATTATAATAGCGTTTTATGTCCTCCTTGGACTAGGTCAGTTTCTTCTGTATAAAAGACCTCCTCTCTTTGAGATCCTTTACCCGTGCTGCTGTATCCTTATGATACTCCTTTGGATAGACGTCTACGCTAATCCTTAGATTAGGTTTGAACCCCTAGAATGCCTCGTACGGCGAGATTCTAGTCGCGCTATACCTTAATTGGTTATAGTATATCTGCGCTAGAGAAAGGTAATTGGCCTAGTCGTCCTAGTCCTAATTAACGTATAACCGGAGGTAATACTCTAGTGTCTGATTCTGCCGTTCCGTCTGCCCGTCTGTCTATAGATAGAATACGGTAGAT